CGGGCTGAACAAAAATGTATAATGAAAATGTTGGATAAAAATACTAAAACTGAACGACCTTGATGCGTCAAGGTCTGCTGCATTTAAATGGTTTGAAAATGTTTAATCGAAAATGTTTTCCACGCATCCTTGGTAATGCTTATTTCCTGACAAGCTTCTCTAACCCTCAAATGCTAAACTGGATTGTTCTTGACTCACAACCCGGGACTTTGCTCGAGGATTAGTTTTGTTTGTGATTGGCCAGGAAACGCAACCCCATTTCAGCCAAGATGCCAGCAAGCCAAAGCCACAGAAACACTTTCGCCATAAATCATAAAAGTGATGTTAGTCTGTTCGGAGCTTTGTTGTTGTTTGTATCCCCATTCAACATTGTGGTGACAGTTGGCTTGCTTGCGCCGCAGGATCACGTCCAAACACCTCCCATTTTTCGTCCTTTCGGAAATCCAGTCAGCCAAATTATGCTTAGCCCTTTGTGTAAATGCAATATTTGATTGTCGGCCTCTCAGGCCATTTAGCTTTATTATTTTATTAATTTTGTACAGTGTTTTTTTGTTGGCCAACATAATAAACATTAGAGTTTGCATATCCTAGGGAATACATTTGGGTGTTAAAGGTAAACTTTGATATATTGAATTTGTTTATATCGTAAAATATGGCCTTAAACTTATGGCAAACTAAAAGAGTACAGCCAAGATAAATATGATGTCGGTTAAAATACAACTTTTAGTATATATATATCACTGTTTCTTGGCATCCCTTTTGGTAAGTATTCCACCCAAAACATTGCAAGGCTACAAGTCACGAATTCAGCTCAATTTTCTGCAGGCTTTCAAGGGATTGTCGAAATCCCTATTGCAAGCTCAAAAGACTAAAGCGGGAAAACCTTAATCTGATTGACACAGCCACACCCTTGAGGCACATATTCGAAAACAAGGGCAAACATAGGCAGGTCAGACAATGAATGACAATAATGTCATATTCCAAATTGGATATATATAACCAAGGATTTATGCAGGCCTCAAGCCAATCGGATGCAGTCCTTTGGTCCTCTATCAACCAATCCTTTTGCAACTGACAGATTGCACAACATTTGTATGCTTTTAGTACTTTGGTTGGTTTGAGGCATTGGCCAGAACAGTTTCGTTCTCAAGTTTTCCCTTCCGAGTGACTCGAGAACTTGGCCAAAGTTCCGTGTCTTTTGTTGATACGTCTTGTGGGCCAAGTTTTTGTTGCACTCGTGGCGAACGCAATTGAGATGCAAATGCAATTGAAAAACTGCTCCAAGGAACGAGGTAGAGGCTGTGATAAATATTGAGAACAATACGATGCTGAGGCAGCAACAGTGCCATCGAACGAGGGTCCATTTTAGTGTGCAACACTTTTCCATTTTATCCTTTTTTTAATACCCTTTCAGGGTACTTTAATTGTAATCAGAAGGTTGTTACTCTGATATGGAGTCGTTTCCGACCCCATATATTCTTGATCAGCATCAAAATCCGAATCGATCTAGCCATGTCTGGTCGAAATATAAATTTTTTCGAAATTTGAAAATTTTATAAGGGGTTACATAATTAAAATTGTCAAAAATTGGAAAAATATGATTTTTTTGAACTTTAAATTGAGTATGCAGATTTATTAACCTAACAAAATCTTACATAGATGCAATTATATTTATAGATTAGTTTAGTCTTAGAAAGCTTAGAGCTAATACATTTCAAAAACAATTATGTAAATTGTTTTTAATTCCCGTTTTTTAGTTTAAGGAAATAAAACATGTTATTTAAGCATTAGATATAAGATACAGTTTCATAGATTTAAGGGAATGTTCAGCTTAAAGTATTCGGCAGACACTCTTCCATGACTAGATTAGTTCTGCACTACTCCCCCACGAGAGGAAACAAAAGACAAGGCAGCAAGGACAATGCCAGCCTGCGGCCTTTTGAGGGTTAACACAGACAAAGCTGGTCGAGGTTGCATTGATGCATTTCCCTGTACAAGAAGGCACTCCGCCTGGCCACGCCTCAATGGCAAGGCCATTTCCCGAGAAAAGTGAGACTCTAGAGGAGAACGAATTTGATTTGGAAAGGGATCTCTGTACCACTTTCCGAGGCATGTACAAATTTAAGGCAAACAAGAGAATAAACAAACTGTCCAAACTGAAGTTAAGTAGGACAAGTTTATGGAGAAAAACTTTGCCAGACATTCAGAGGAAAAGTATTTTATGGCAGAAATAGTTTCTAGCAAAAGGCAAATAGTAAAAGCAAATATTTATGTTTCTTTTTCTCCTGTTTGCAGAGACATGAAACGAATGTTGCTCATTAGACTATGCACAGCCACAGGTTGGGAAAAAGTACTCGACCACTCTTGTAAATATGTGCAATAGTTTTGTTTGCTGTGCCGTGCGAATTAAGATGGCAAACAGTGGCTACCATTGTTCACATAACTTGTTTCCCTGTGATTCTCATGTTACAGATTCCAGTGTTATGTCTTGTGTTTGGCAAGGTTTTCCTTACTGTGCTGTGGGAACTGGGCACAAAATTAAAGAATATTTAAACAATTTATATAATGGGATGTACATATTTGCATTGCTATCAATTTGTTTGAAAAGCTTAAGCTATAAAATGTAGAAAGAAATATTACAAATAAAATATTCAAATTGCTTTCAGTCTCACTAGAGACTAACAAAAACAGTGTTAAAACTTAACTAAAATACCTCAAAAGGTACGCTTTTGTATTCCCTCTCAAAGCATTACATTATTTTTACCTTGCATAACTCTAAAGGAAACTTTATCTTCAGGCAATTACGGTCCTCGGACTCGTCATTACTAAACTAGAAGGACATTTTACGGTATGCCGTGCAGGACTGCCTGAAACCTATTAACAAGACATTCTGACAAGCTCCACTTATTTCTACTTCTTGAAAAGAGAGGTGGTGGAGAAAAGGAATAGGAATTCCTGTGTAGCAATCAGCAGATTGTGTGACAGTCTGCCCTTCATTTCCCTATTTATTCAACAAGTTCCGCTGGCCGGAGCCCGAAAACTAAGAACGGAATTCGACACGACAGGCCAAGGACTTTATGCGCTAATAATCACAAAATTTCTGCCCTTTCCAGGCATCGATTTGTTTGGCATTCGCAGGATGCCCCGAGGGTACGACAGGTCCTCCTCCTAGATCCTTGTGACTTGTGATCCCCTCTATACCCAGTTTTAGTGTCATTTATTTTGTCACGCGTTATTCATGGCCAGGCCCGTGTCTGTGTGCGGCTGGCTAGCTGTGTCCCTATAAAAGTCCTCCTCTGAGCCCGTAAGTGCGTGTTTATTTGCTAAGGTCCTGGCCACTCCCCTCCCTCCCATATCCCACAAGCTGCCTGTGTTTTTGGAGCTGGCTTAAAGGTATTTGGCGTTGCGGCTCCGGCACGTTATCGAAGGCATGCAGGCCCAAAGTGGAATCCCCGGCATCCGTGTAATTGGGGCAAGGGTTTCGTTCCTGTGAGTTTGCTGGGCGTGTGTGGCAATGGGTGTGCGTGTGTATGACAAACTCATTTCATATTTATTAAATTTGCTGCGCTTGGGTTTTATTTTCATTTGGCACGTTCTGGAGGTAAAATAAACATCGCAGCAAGTGTTGCTTTGTGTTTTTTTGGTATACTTCAGAGGCTGAGCTTATTAGACGTTTTACGGGGAAATGCGAGATGCTGGAATATGATATATGTTATGCGTATACTATTGTTTCTCTCTGGCATTGTTTTAATTAAGGCGAAAATCGTATTTCAAAGGATGAGTGAAAGGAATTTCGCCGGTGGAAAGCTGCAACATTCAGCGGAGACGCCGCAAATATTTCCACATGTTCTGAAACTTTTTTAGCTGGGGAAATCCCCTGCACAACTCCGTTGTCGTTTTTTCTCTGGACAAAGCAAATATGAATATGTAAAGTGCGGCAATAATTCCCCGCCACGGCCTGGCACCGCCCCCCTACCCGGCACAAACGAAACTATGTAATTAAAAAGTTTTGCAAAGAGATTGCGGAGCACGAAAAAAGGGATAGAAATATTATGGTTTTGCATATTTCTGCGTCAGCCAAAAACAATAATTAAACACAAACCGCAAAAGCAAAGCAACCATGCTGCGAAGCTATAACAAATAATATTAAAACAATTTATTATTGGTTAATTTTTGGTTATTTTTCCCTAACAGTTTATTGGCGAGTGCGTTAACAGAATATTTGGCAAACAAGCCGCAGGAGAAACTAAATTAAACTCTATTAATTCAAGCAGAAAAATAGTATACGAAAATAAAATAACAAAAACAGAAGAGTCTATTAATTGCAGCTTAAGTTGTGGATCAGTGAACTATAACTGAACTAACTGAGTATCATATAAAATTTACTATAATATAATTACTTAATGCATTTTATTGCTCACCTACATATTATGCTAATATTTTTCGCTAGCAACACAGCAACATACCTTAAAATAAGAGTATTATGTGCAAAAGGGTATCAAAACATCGACTTGAGAAATTCAACTATATTTCTTGCTTGAGCTCTGTTTCAGTTCTGTGTTCGCTGTGAACCTTGTTACCAAAATTTCACTCTTGCCAAAAAGGCTGTTGCTTTGGCTCATATTTGTACACATGTATTTTTTTTGTGCGTTGTGGTCAGTTCATTCACCTTGTTTATTGCTTCTTTGAGGCCGAAACTGAAACGGCTAAACAAAAGATGGCTTTAAGATATAAATATCGCTTTCATAGAACCTTAAGTAAGTATGTATTGCTTTTAATACAAATATTTTTTTATTTACAAAAGCTGCATACATTTATTGTGTATCAACCAGCTGCATAAATCAAGCTTTTGTAACAATTCAAGTTTATCTTACTCGATAAATGTGTCAACAGTCAGTTGACCAAAACTAAACCAAATATTTACGCTTAAATATTACAAAAAAACCATAACCAAAATAATAATAATAAATCCAAAGCAGTAGAACGAATCCAACCAGAACCCGAACCAGACCCGAATCCGAGGCAGATGCAAAATGCAGAACGGCCACAATCTGGCCAAAACAAGTGCAACAGACAACCGGCAAATCGGGCCAACAGCTGCCTGGCCGGCTTCCCCTCTGTCTCCCTGTCTCCCTGTCTCCCTGTCTTTCTGCCTTTTTTTTTTATTGGCAAACTGACAACAAAATCAGTAAGAATAACAGCCACCACAGCAAACAAAAACTCGTTGCACTCAGATAACAATTTCTCTTTCAAAAATCAGTTGCTTGCCATGTGCGTCATCCATCTTCCTGCACTGGAAACAAACTGGAATTGTTTTATAAGCTTGATTTAAATGTACATAAAAAGCAATATTTGTTCTTACAAACTCCTACTATAGTTGATGAATTATTTATTGTGCAACATTGAAGCAACATTGTTTCTTTAAATAAAAATTATATCATTCCTTTTAAAGCATTTCCGCATTGCTCTTCAAGCCCTGTATGTACGCACTCCCTTCGACTTTTGTGGCTGCCAACGTTGCGCAACAAGTTGGCTATATATACACACACACACACACACTCAAATATATATATATTTTTAAGGCCAAGACCAAACAGGCAGCCATGGAAGCAACGGTTTCGTCTGCTGGCTGTTTGGTTGCTCAACCACTTGACTTCTAATGCAGTCCAAAGGAAATGGGGCTACTAGTCGCAACCGGCTGGCACTCAGCTGGGAACAGGTGCCAGAATGGGTGGCTTCATCCGAAGGGGGGGAGTAGAAGGGGGGGAGGAGGAGGGGTAAGGGTTGCCCCTCGTCTCAGCAAGAAAGCGGAAGTGGGACTCCGGTTATGTGGAGCATTGGCCAAGACAAGAGGGCACCGGGATTATATTTTATGGCTGACAGCAAGGGATTTCTTAAGTCTATAACGGATGCGTGAGTATAACTCTGAGTGCGAGCTTTTGAGTGCTCCCTTTTTACGGCGTAAGAAATGAAATACAGCTGTCAGGTGTATGTCTCACCTCTTAAAACTAGACATCAGAAAGCATTTAGAAATATATATATAAAACTCATTTTAGATGACTTGGATTACAAGAATTTCAAAAATATACGAGATGTTCTTAACCTTAATTTGAGTATAGCACCAAATTTTAAATATATGTATATAGGGATATTAAATCGATATTTTTAAATCTCAATTTTTGGCTAAATCGAAGTTTTTTAAATATCATAACAAACCCTAAAATCCATTAATTTCAATTTGGAAAGCTTTTCTATACTAGTTTTTATAAGGCTAACAAAGCTGCATACTCAGTTTTCATATTTAAAAACTTATATTTTTTGTCAATTTTTTTAAATTTTAACGATGTAACCACTTATAAAATTTTAAAATTTTGAAAAAATGTGAAATTTTATTTTTTTACCGTACATAGCTAGATCGATTCAGCTGTTGATGCTGATCAAGAATATATATGATTTATAGGGCCGGAAACGATTCCTTCCCTGCGTTGCAAGCTTCTGAATAAAATTATAATACCCTGCAAAAGTATAAAAAGTATGCAATTCAACACACTCTCTTTCAAAATATTAGGCAAAATGAACAACAAGTACAAATATATAAAAAGAATGCTGGTATTAATTCAAACAATCCTGTGGATTTTAGAATTAATTAAACTGAATGCTTGTATCATAAACACACGAGTACAAGAATATAATAAACATAAATTGATAACAAGTATTCTTTGCTGACAAAACAAACGACTTATTAAGGTATTTTAAATATAAATTCTTACAGAATATAATCTCTATTGTCGAAAGATTTAATATACAGTCAAGAACAGTAAATTTTCATACTTATATTTTCTTTACTAGGTACTATTAAACTTCACAACTGCGAGACTTTTCCAGATTTTTCTTTGCAATTTACATCTGTTCTTCAGAAGGAAGAATCCAAGCCCCGAAAAGGTGCTACATTTTACACTTTTTAGACCAATGGCTAATTTGGAAGGCTTCTTAGGTAGCTTACTTCACCTTAATGCCAAATTAGCTCAGGAAGATGGTGTTCTTGTACTCAAAGTTCTTTGCCGATTTGCTCGACATGTCACACATTTGCTTGTGAGATGGTGAGATAGGCTTTTTGGAGCGCTTTTTCAGCTTGACAGCCGGCAGACCCGCAATTACAAGCCGCAAATGTACTGAAAACGGCTGAAAGTCAACAAACACAAGAGCCAACTGCTGCCTTGCACAACTTTTCGGGTTTGGAGCGGCGACACGAAGTGTTGCATAATCGGGACCGCTGTTGCAGAGACAAAAGTCGGAGCGGCAGTAACAATAACACAATAATACACCCACGAAGTGGCAACCGGTTTGCGATCTACTGCTGCTGCTGCTGCTCTCGGTTCGCCAAATGAGATAAATGTAAAAATATATATATATAGTGTACACAACCTATATAAATCGGAGCTGCAAACGCAAGGCAAAAACCTCAATTGCGACCAGCCAGGGGCGCCACGTACGCAGTGTGCGAACCCAAACTTAACTTAACTCAACTTAACCCACTGCCCTCGGTTTTCGTGTTTCCCTGCAGCTTTCCCAGGCCAGGTAATAATTATGCCATTTTGATACACTTACCTACACTTGGAGGCAGAGAAAGAGCCCGTAGGCTGGCGATTAAGACATAAGAAATAGTATCTTTGAAGCAAAAGCAATAGAAACTAGAACTCAATGAGAGTAGAGCTAAAGCGAGAGTGAGTTGTAGGAAGGTGTTCAAAATTTTTATTGATTTTAACAATTATTTTAAATACTATTTATAATTTATAGGGATTTTATATGATGTTTATCTGTAATACTAAATTTATAAGCCTAGCATCTTACTTACTTAACTTAAAGATACCAGGTAGTAAAACTAAATAATACAAACTAGAACATACCAATCTTTAATGTTTCTAATCAAATTTAATAAAATAAATATGCAAATTATTCATTATTTCATAGTAAACCTCAATTATTTATCATTGTCCCTGTGGTAATAATAATATTATTATTCCCCTGCGAAACTTAATATTTTGAAGATAGAGACAGTACCTACTACCGTTACTGGTTTCTCACGTATCTTGTGCCGTTGTTTTGCGGCCAACCTAGGTCTGCTTGTAAGCCAAACTCGTTTAGTGCTGAGATACTCTAAAGTTTCCTTCTATCTGCCTCTGCGTGTGGCAGCATCAGCATCAGCATCACCATCGGCGAGTGCGTCTGCTGGCAATCAGGGGGTAATCCGGGTTAGAAGAACCCAGGGGCCAAGTTCGGCCCATCACTGCTGCGGTTTCCCTTCCTTCCCTCGGCTGTAGACATTGCCATTTGCTGGAAAACGGGGAAACGCGAGAGATGGAAGATGGGACTTTGCTCTTCAGGGCTGCCAGCTACTTTTCCAACTTTCACAATTTGCGCTAAGTACGTTCCGTGATTTTGCGGGCACTGGGGAAGTGGGAAAACACATAGCTATAGTTGAAGCTGGCTAAATAAAAGTTCGTCTTGTCTGCGGCCTGTTACTAGCTAAGTACTTGAACACTTGGAGTACTCTCAATTAGGGCGACTGATGCTAGTCTAAATGTACATCAGCTGACAATGTTACGATGCCAAGCCAATAGTTCAAAAGCAATCCCGAAACATGGAAGATAGTAATAATCGGATCGAGATGATCGTTTGTTAAGCTACATGAACCTTTAAGATATTGTAGTTAGATTTGACTTTAAGAAAACGACATATATTTGTATAAAATTGCATAAGTAGTATTTAAATATATCTGCTTTCCTTTTACTGAAAATGTATGAAAATTTCATCTTCGCCAGTTTAAAGAATGGACTTTCTTACTCATATCTGTCAAACTTTCTTTTATTAAAAAAAGTAATATTTGTATTCATAATTTTCAAAGAAATTCACTAAATTTTTTTCCAAGTGGAACTCATGACTAATAGACGACATTGTACGAGACCATTTTATTACTTTAATCACCCCGTAACTATAAAACGAGTTCTTCAAATCTCATTGGGAGCAGTCAATCCAAGAGCTCTTAAGTTTTCATGATACAAAAAATAATCGTGGTCGTGGTCATCAGGGCAATTAGAATAAGAGGAAAAACTAATTTAGTTTCAAGTAGAGCCATCATTTTAACTACTATGTTGCAATCGCAGAGACGAGAGTGCATTAGAAAGACTTTCGCAGTTTATTTCTCATTTGGTCTGAGAAGTCCAAAAGCCAGATGGCCAGTCGTCTGCGTGCAGTAATTACCAATGAAAATAAAAGTAAAGCGGCATGTTCGTAAACAATAATAAAAACAAAAGTTTTTATTGTGGCGTCATAATTGGGTTCCCCACAGCTTTCCTTTGCTTCATTGTCAACCTCCCACCTGCCTGGAATGGGCGGGGATGCGTTGTCCCAATGTTTCCGCTTATTAAACCAAGTACAAATCGTGGCAACAAAGGCACAAGGGAAACTTTCAACACTTTCTTAAGCACGCAAGCGATGTCATTAAAACACGCAAGTCACATCAGCAAAAGGCGAAAAATACAAACAAAATATACAAAATAACTAAATAAATAAATAAAAGTTTCATATTCGGGCCCGGCACTAAGACTTTTATTACTTTTATTGCAGTTGTCGCTACGTGTGCTTCATTAAAACGAATAAAGAGCCGTGGGTGGCTGAAGGGTTTTCAGGTATTTTGCAGCAATTTGCCAGTTGGCCGATGTAAGCCGCTTAGGATTGGCCAATAGCCATCTTCGTTGGCAATTTCAATTAGCAAATATTGAACACGGCCCGTTGCAATATTTTTTTATATTCGAATATAATTTGTTTAACCGTTTACATAAGCTGTTACGACCAAGTTCCCCCGCTGTTACGACCCATTTCCCCCGCTGTTATTTTGGCTTTTAATGTTTTTCTTGTAAGCTAGCTCAGTTACGTTTCCAGCGAAGGCGTCACCGAAACCGCTATCGTTGTCACCCACAAGATCTGTCCCTGTGCCACAAAGTTCAGGACACTTCTGGCCACTTGGCTGGACCGCCGGCTGTCAGATGCCTTGTCCTGCATAATGATTATTTCTCGCCAGGAAGTCAGAGAAAACAAAAAACTATATAAACATAAATAAATAATAGACATAGTTATTTGAATTTAAAAACTTCAAAGAAAATAATGTATTCAGAAATATAGTAAATAAATTCAAGAGTAGCGATTCCTTTAATCTTGGGATATACTCAGTGCTTACATTATTTCAACAAGTTTTAATTATTACAATTTTTCTTCCTGTGCACGACGAGGACTACTGCCAGCTGTCAGCAGCCGGAGCTGGACAGTGGGTGGCCCTGGCCGGGTGTCCGGAAAAGTTTTTCCTCCCTGACACTTTCATAAATTCTAATTATATATCAAAGCAAGTGTCATTTGCACTGGCCCAGACTGCCATGAAAATTAAATGAA